GTTGGAAACGGCGTCTCACTGAGCACCACCCCTGCTTTTGTAGAAGCTACACCTTAAATCCAATAAAACCCACCTGCTTCAAGCGTAGAAACTTAGCCCTGCCCCTGATGAAGGAAAAACAAGAGGTAGAACAGATCCATCAGCCAAAAAAGTCATGATTCTTGGCCCCAAGCAATCTTGACCTGTTTCCATTATGTGAACTGCTAAGAAAAAGGCAAAACACCTTTAAAAAAATTAGTGAAGGGCTAAAGAGATGGTTCAGCTTTTAAGAGTGTGTTATTGCTCTTGCAAAGTGCAAAGGACCCAGGTTCAATTCCTGGCACCCACAAGGAAGTTCACAATCACCTTTTACTCAGTGCTAGGGGCATCTGATACACTAATATGCACCCCCCCAAACCCACACACAGCACTTTAAAATACCCATAAAGGGAATCCATTGTTTTGACAATTCACAGAAGAGGGAAGTAGAAGCATCACAAGCCTGGAAAGATACGGCCTCAGAATTAATAAGGTTACTGCAAATAAAGGCCAGAGCAAGAGACCTTTGCTGAGATCTCGGCTACCTTGACTTCCACAAAGGCCTGTCTCTAACGAGGTCTGAGAGTCTGAGGTGGTTTTGTGGGAACACAGCTCAGTGGTGACAACCTTTCTCACTGCTGTAACAGGGTGCCTGACAAACAAAGGGAGGAAAGCTTGACTTTACTCTGTCTCAGACTTTGGTGGCGGAAGGCAGCCACAGAGCAGGAACGGCTCTGGCCCCGTCAGGAGCGTCAGCAGCTTGATGACGTCCTTCTCCTCTCCTCCACGACCTTTGGTGCACACCAGAGCACACCACCGCCGTAACTGTGAGTCTATCCTAATGTCAGTACCCTGCTGTTTTGCTTGTCTATCTCTGTGGAAATTTTAAAGGTAGAACGTTGTTCTTCTTAAAGATGGCTTGGCTGTTAGAGGCCTGTGAAGATTACGTGTGGATTTTAGGGAGTATTGTCATCGTAACAATACTGAATTTTCCATGAAATTCAGTATTTCCGTGTTTCCATTCTGTTTCCCAACTTCTTTCAGCAAGTACTTCCCTGGTTAAATTTGATTTTTTTACCCCTTCTTTTTGATGATTTTGTGTTTAAAATTGTTTATAAATTTCCCTTTCAGATTTCTCATTGTTAGTGGCCCTGCTTCTCTCTCCAAGCGGGGCGTCCCAGATCTCTTTCTGCTGACTAATTGTTCCAGGTAGTACTGTTTTGTTACGGCAGCTTTTCTATTTTCACCATTTTGCATGTGTAAGGGGGTTTATGTCAGATGTGGTTTCTGGGTTAAGGGACTTGATCCTCCAGGCCTCCTGGAACCTGACCCAGCCAGGCTTTGGCCACCCCCCTCTCTCACAGGTCAGCCTCCTCATAGTCCAGTCCCCTCGTGAGCAGCGTTGGCATGGTGTACACAGCACTCTGAAATGTTTTACGTGGCCGCTGTGGCCTGGTCACCCCTCACCCGCTGTTCTAACACCTTCTTTGTGCTGAGCTTTACACCATACAGTACACACACACCATACAGTACACACCATACAGTACACACCATA